TAATGCAACTGGCATCTGAGGTCTTTCGACTTCTTTGCTCTCTTTTCTTTTTTACAATGTTTGTTTGAATGTAAGTTTGCTGATAATGAAATTCGTATCGAATGAGTCAGGGGGTTTTGGTTGTCTGTCAATAAAGCAGTCAGCTTATAAACCTAGCAATCGATGAATCTCGATTAAGGAAGTATCAATAAATCGATCAATCAATCGATCAATCAACTGATCAATCAACTGATCAATCAATCAAATCAATTAATCAGTCAAGGGATCAATCAATCGATCAGTCAATCGATCAGTCAATAAATTGTCTGGTCGAGCCATCAGTCAATCGATCAATCAATCAATCAATTGATCAAGCAATCGATCAATCAATCAATCAGTCGATCGATTAAGCAATTGATCAATTAATCAATCAGTCAATCAGTCAATTGATCAATCAATGGATCGATCGATTAATCAATTCATCAATCAATCAATCAATCAATCAATTGATCAATTAATCGATCAATCAATCAATTTTGTTTGGTCGAGCAATCAATCATGCACTCAATTGATCAGTCGATAGATCAGTCAGTCAGTGATTAGATCAGTCAGTCAGTCATTCGATTGATCTGTGTTGGCTACTGTCTCCACCGAAGTAGGACGCCCGGTCATTATAGCTGTATTTGTGGCAACTTTCAGTCCAGATGCAGCAAGAATCACTGCGAGTTCTATTCGGGTGAAGACGGTAGTGAATCAGATGGTCATCAAAATAACCAACACGTCCATCAGCTACTAAGTGAATTCATCTGCCATGATCTTGTATTCTGCCATAGCGCACTGGGTAAGTTCATGGAGTGTATACAGCAGGTCACGGGCTCGATTGTCGTTAGCGTGGTGATAAAGAGCATGGGGTGCATGCAACAGGTCGAAGGCACAAGTCTGTCAGTCCTTTGCTGCGCCATTTGCACACAATGACGATGGGGGATTCCGTGGGGATATGGTATGGTCTCTGCTTGTCAGGGTCTCAACACCCCAGGATTGGGGGATGGGCTGACAGGTCGCGGGTTCGATTCCCATTGGACTCGTGTTAAGGGAAAAAAAGCCACATGGAGTTTGTGCAACAGGTCGAGGGCTCGAAAATAGGCTGGTTGATCGAAGGCACAAGTCTGTCAGTCCTCTCCTCCATTTGCACACAGTAAGGAAAAGCTAATCCGTGGGGATATGATCTCTGCTTGTCAGGGTCTCAGCACTCCGGGATTGGTTGATGGGCTGACATGGGGAAAAAAGGGGGTGGGGGTATATGGTCAGTGTTGGGGCTCATGTGTTGCCTTAGGGTTGCGCGTGGACGTTGCTTGCCGGGTGCGTTGTTGCCTGTACTCTATCGCCCAGGCGGCAGAAAGATTTAGCTGGGTTTCACGGGGGATGGGTTGCTAGGAGGCAAGTCTATGAAAGATGCAACGGATGTATGTAATCACCTAGGAGGATGTTCTCCATCTGCATGTGAAGACCGGGTAGTGCATTCCTTGTATAACGATAGAGAGTAGCTGCGTGGTGTTGCGTGGGTGATTAGGGGTGTAGTGCGGGAGTAGTGTGTCTAAAGGTGTGACCTTCTCACAAGCTGGGAGGGAGGGAAGGTTGCGCAGGGGTGGAGTAGCCTAGGGATCTACGTACCTGAGATAGAGGTTAACCGCCCGGGAAAGCCCCCCAATTGCACCTGCTGCGCAATTCTTTGCGCGACCTCGCTCGTCCCCTCTCCTACCCTCAACCTGTTCCATCTTCGGGGAGAGGGGGGGGGTGGTGGAGAAGGGGAGAGTGAGAAGAGGAGGAACTGACATGCTGTTGAATCATCTGAAATGGCGGCAGTTCTCATCGACTCCCTGTCCTTGCGAGTGGATGACCTGTAGCTGTCAGCACACAACTGAATATGGTCCGCATCTCGTCAACCGGGGCACTGGCGGGCACAAACACAGCAAACACCGCGTTGGTGTGAGTAAAGTGGGGACCACTTTTCTCTCTCAGGGATGGGTATTGCTAACTCTGGGCGATGCGGCGAGTCCTTATCCATCAGTCAAATGCATCCTGGACCGACTATCACGGTTCCGACCTGCCTATTGAGTCGTGTGAAATCTGATGCAAAAGTGTGGCACAGTGGTACTTCTTTTTTGTGGAGTTGTGCATAGCTAACATGACAACACATGCACACACATACAACCTCCGCTTCCGCCTGCATTTCTGCCTGAGTGGGTGTGTAGTGTGGGTTCTGTGTATGAAATGGACTCCAGTCCCCGGGAGTTTAATGCAGTTATTGTTCGCGGTTCGAACTAGATAGTCTGTTAGGGCTGCAGGGTTGTTCTGAGCGAAGTCGCCGCTCTCCTCCTCGGGGGTATCTCGCTAAATTGGGGCGAAGTGGTGAGTCCTTTGAGATCACTCGATTGCATCCCGGGCAGACTAGCAGGCCTTAACCCTTAACCTGGCTGTGAGTGAGTGAAAGTCCGACGAAACAGACTGTCGAAGTCAGCCTTCCCTTGTGCAGTTCTGTTCAGTCTGTTCAGTAAATACAAATTCGCACACACACAGGTCTGCATCGTTCTCATCGGGTCTGCCCCCTCTGCCGCCAAGGTCTGAATGACCCTAAACTCTTTTCTTGACCTTTCTATATAAGCACTGCACTGAAAAGGCTGCAACCATGCTATTTATAGAAGACGGGTGTGTGGGTGGGCACGGGCCAATTATACTACCAGTACTTCATAAAGTTGTGCCCGTTAACGTGTGCCACGATTTAAGGAAACGTACGGGCCACTACAGGAGCGTCCTAGAAATGTTTCTACTCTATTCTTTTCCGCGGCCGATAGCTGGGCCAAGCACTGGTGGTTTAAGCACACAGACGTCCAGGAATCTCAGAATCCGAAACAAAAACCAAAAAGATGAAAGAAAAGACATCTTCCCCCCCGCCCTTTCAAAATTCGAATTTCATTCGAATTGATCAATTCGAGGCCGGGGGCCAGAAGTGTGCACATTTTTCTGGCCATCAAGTAAAAAATTCTTTGGCTTTCTGAAGTATTTGGCGGTGGATGATAGGGTAGCAGTGAAGGAGGTTGTTCTTTATCACTGCTTTACCAGCACTCCACGGTCACTCTTTTTATTAATTATTTTAAGACAAGTGCCTGCTGGTCTTATTTGTACCCCATTTTCATTTCACAGGTGCATTCCCGCCTTGAAAGAGCTCACCACTGAACCACTGGGCCTCCTAAATTGCAGTAATAGCGGGTTGAGGCCTGGCGGAGGTTCAGTAAAGGTCGGGTGAGACTGCAGTTACCTTGTTGCCTATCTTGTGGCTGGTACACACTGAGAATGGGGTAGGCTGTGCTTAGGATGGATGGGCGCTTGGCTTTCGGACAGGGGCATTTGGGACGTTTGGTTCCGACAGGGGCATTTGGGATACACACTGAGAATGGGGTAGGCTGTGCTTAGGATGGATGGGCGCTTGACTTTCGGACAGGGGCATTTGGGACGTTTGGCCCCAACAGGGGCGTTTGGGAGGCCTGTTTGTGGCTCCCGCTAGAGAGTGCAGGTTACTGGTGGCCGAGGCCTGTTCGTGGCCCCCGCTAGAGACTGCAGGGTACTGGTTGTTTTGACCTATGATGTGGCTGGTACACACTGAGAATGGGGTAGGCAGTGCTTAGGATGGATGGACGCTTGGCTTTCGGACAGGGACATTTGGGACTCGATGAGTTGTGGGAAAGGCTCTCTTGTCATATCTGTCTGATTCTGCAAGGATTTGAGCTCGTGAGCAATGTATTAACAGTGCCATTTGGCCACTGTGTGGCTGCAAGCTCTCCTGCATATATACTTGCTAGGAGGCAGCAGCCTGACTATAGGCGCTTTCCCTTAATCCGGGAGAATTTTCATTCGAGCAACCCCTGGACTTCTGAAGAGGGCCTTGGAAATTGGGAAAACGGATGGTGCAGAGGGAGGAGATTCTGGTGCATCTCTCTCTCTCACTGTCGTCCTTTTGAGATATGATGCGCGCTGTCTCTCTGTCTCTCTTTTGACATGCCTCTCTCTGTCTCTCTTTTGACGTGATCCTCTCTCTCTCTCTCTCCGCGTCTCTGTTTTGAGACAAGCCTGTTGATATCAAGTTCCCTCTCCACATCTGTAGCTATAAATGTCTCTCCCGCTTGCGGCTGCGTTAATGTATGTCATGCTGAGGTGACACTCTGCAGTGTACAGAGATGATTTGCAATGCCTCGCATGAAACAGTTTGGGGCATGCGGCTTCGCAAAGTGATTTTGTTGTCACATTGTGCAAAATTTTTGCACCATGTGATGCAGATTTTTATGTTTTTCTGTGCGCTGCCTCGACTTTGAAAGCGACTACCATCTTTTTTGCTTTTGTGCACCATGTGCGAAGTTTTACTTTTGTCGACCCAGAAAGCGAGACCGTCTTTTTTTCTCCAAATTTTGATTTGCTATTGTCGGTTTCTAGCGTAATGTATGGTAAGTATGTTTATGGAAATGAAAAAATGCTCAGAAAGCCAGAAAGTCTGTGATTCTTTTCAACCAATGGGATTTGTGCATTGGAAGGGTATATGGATTTTCCAAAGGGTCAAATGTGATTTTTGATTTATCCGGAATAGGTGTAATTATCAAGTACTCAGATAAAAACAGCTTCAACCGCTGTTTGTCAACGGAGATATCACAATTATTATTATTATTATTTTTTGAGATATCATAATTATGAAGTGCTGGCGTCAATGGTTTCTTGGTGATCGCGGGTATTTTTGTGGGTTTGCTAATTTTATCACAGCGCCACCGTTGACATGTCATTGCAAAAATGTGGTCTGAACGTTCGGACCACGCGATTTTTGTAAAGAAGATGATATTTTGAGTCTCGCAGGCTGGTCGTGTATGTGCTGAACTGCAGAATCAAGAAAATGAGAGAGAGGTAGGTGGGGGAGGAATGCGGTGGAAAATTTCTGAAATTGGTACCCTGGAATTGCTAATCTACCCTTCGATGTGCAGAATTGCAGAGTCGTAAAATTTACAACTGCCCTTGGAAATTGCTGAAATTGCAAAGCTCCTTTGTTTGATCAGCCTCCCAGAATACCGGGGCTACTAGCCATTTTGGGGCTACATCGATGCAGACTTTGAGGTGGTTGCAGAGTGGAAGAGAGTGTGGAGGATGTATGGTTGTGGTTTCGTTGGATAACAAGTATGCATTAATGCAGGAGGGGGAAGGGGAGAGAGAGAGAGAGGAAAGAGAGGAAGTGCAAGAGGACGAGAACCAAAGACTTGGCGTCAAGACCGAACAGCCAGGGACGACATCATTGGAGATGGTGAGCTCAGGTCTTGGGTAAGTTGCGCTCTGCAACTCTCATGGAAGAATCTAGAAGACGGGAGTGACGGAGAAAGAGGTGGTTGGTCGCCTGTCCGACTCACAGGCAAATCCCACGCAATTCATGCGGTGTCAAGCGGGATCTGAAAGGAGAACAAGCTTGTGCAGTGTCGGTTGGTGCTTCTGATCGGAGTGTGCATGTGGGTTGGTTGGGTGTATTTTCCGTGCGGGAAATCTGCATGCACTGTCCGAGGGAGTGGTACGTGCAGTTTCCTTTGTTGTTTGGCAGGAAGAAGTAAGAGTGGCTTCATGTGGGAAAGTTTGTGAGTGGGTTTGGTGTGTGTGTGTGTGTGTGTGTGAGAGAGAGAGAGAGAGAGAGAGAGAGAGAGAGAGCAGGTGAGCAGGCAATATGGACGGAATGAATTCTGATGGAGAGGACACACCGATGGTGCGGAAGCTAGTGGTAAGCATTCCAACCAGGCCTTTTCTCCACTGCACCCAGCCCCTTTCTGAAGTACTCGCCCTTTCTCCTGGCAGCCCCTGTTGATGCGTTTGCAAATTTTTTGGTTTGTCTGTTTTGGTATGTCCGTGAAGGGCTTCAACAAAATCTAGGGGTGGAGCTTGTAGTGAGAAGTCTTGATTCCTATATGGTCTCATCTGTCGGTGAATGGATTGATCTACCAGTGCATCTGGGCCTTCTTGGTCTTTGGTGCTGTCGAGAGCAGCCCCCCCCGCGTGCACGTGCATTTGCACCCAGCTTTGCTTGCAATGTGCTTGAGAACATCCTGCTGTGTCAGGTACTGCCTCCTTTTCTTTGTTTTGTAATGGGGTAAGCCGTAATATTATTGTACACCATAATGTTGTATGTTGAAAATGGCAAAATGCAAAAAAGATGGGGGGAAGAGTGTTGCAAGACAACGTGTCTGGTAATGGTCAATGTGTATGTTTTTATTGGTGGGAAGCACAAAGTTTCGTGTTATGGCTGGTCTGTGAAGAATGTTTGCTCGTGCTTTTTAGCTGATATATACACTTACAGTGTAATCAGTTAGGGGATTCTGCAGACTGTAGAGGGTTCAGCCTCCTGATGAGGAGGTGAAACTCCGACGAAACAGTTTGTCACGGCTCCTGGTTTGTTGTCCTCTTTACCCTCTCTGTCTACGGTTTACTGGGCAGCTCTGTTTGATGATATACATATATATTAGATCACATCTGGCTTTCCAGTGGTGACCGATTCGGATCTGCGGGCAGACCTACCAAATTCTTGTGGTTTGACAGCCACAAATGTCTGCCTACAGGCTTATCAGC